CATGATCAAGAAAATCTCTTTATAGCAAAAAGGAAACATCTTCTGCATCTTTATAACTATGGACTGTATTAGCTTGCCAGCTGAGGGAGAGTTGCTCTGCCTCCGTTAACAAACATTGCAAAGCCACTCGACCCATTTAACACTGGGTATTACTGAGCACACAGTTTCAGTACAGTTGCAATATCGTCAAGTAAATAAATACTACGAGAGGTTCATTTTGATCTCAACTTCCTCATCAATAATTTCACTGGCATTTCCATTACCGTGATGTTATAAAAGATAAAGAAGAAAGAGGAAAGAAACAGCTCAACCAGCCCATGAGTGTCAGCTCCTGAGACCATACAAGAGAAATCCTGGCATGAACAAATGGCAGGCACAAAACTACTTAAACAAGCGTAAAATACATTACTACCTGTCACAGTGACAGAACACTTTTGTTTATGTGTGCTATAGTAACATACATGTTTTAGATGTCAAATGCCTAATTATTTAAAGAGTTGCACAAGTGCAGTGAAGTACTGACCAAGTAGCACAATGCCAGGAGGTATGCCGTGGGCTTTAATTTAACCTAATAACTTATTTTGAAGAGAAAGCAAATTTCTATGCTGCTTTTAGACTCGACAATACATACCTCTGCAGCACATATTTATTGAAAAATCTTGACTGGGAACTTTTTTTTGGAACAGAAAACTCCTCAGTGGTGAGGATTTTTAAGCTTCCTAAACACAGCCTCATTAGAATAGGAAACAAAACAAGAATTGAAGAGTCCTAGACGAATTTAAGTTTCATATATGATAAGAAATTAATGAGACTTGTAGAGGCAGGTTATCACTCTCTTAGACAGTCCTTATGAGGCTTATTTTAAAAAGGCAGAAGCAGAATTGGTACCTGCTCTGGTCTGAGACCTGGGGGGACCCAGGCATATTCTTCCAAGGCGCAGCCAGAGTCATCATCAGATGTTGAGCTTCGCTGACACCCGAAAACGAGATTGTTAGCTTTGGGCTCCATCTCCGATGGCATAAGTGTGAAGCGTTAAATATTTCAGCTGCAGCTCATCAAGCAATCGATCTGGAGGAAAAGATTAACAGAGCTTTAATAAATTTGAACATGCAATGACTAATTATCAGTGTAAATGATCTTACAACTGTTTAGTATTCTTTGTGTTGCCCAGAACAATAAATGATTGAAGCATCATTACAACTTGCTACAAGCAATTCAAAAGTGCCTAAAAGACTTGGAAAAATAAAACTACTCAAGAAAACTAGACACACACTAACTACCACATTTGGGAACCAACATGTATTTCAGTATTATCACTTGTCATCTTTTATACTTCTGCTTGTTTCAAATCACAGGTTATATGTAGCTATATCTAGAAAAGACTCATTGAGCAGTTACCAAGAAAAGGAATGACGCTAGCTCTTCCTGAAGTCATTACTACCACCAATCTAGTAACACAAAAGACATGACAAATGCTAGTCAAAAACTAAAGAAATTGTTGGGGAAAGACGGTTGTGCAAGTAGCATCCTGTTTTTCACAAGGCAGGCACAGAGCAGTGAGCATCTGCTGGATTCCTCCGAGAACTTTGTTTTAGCTGTATCGGAGCGGAAGGGCGTTGGTCCAGTTAAATATCTGAAATCCAATTATGCCAGATTAGGCTCTGTAAAATACATCATAATTGTTCTGTTAATTTAAAACCCTACAGGGAGATGCTTCTGTTGATTCATGAAGCCTGCAAAGCTTAGTATCAGTGGGATCATTTTGAGTCACAACTGGCAAAGAAGGCTCTCACCATCTGTAGCATTCTGCAGTAAAAAGCTTATTAAGATAAATATCTTACATTAATTCTAGCAGAAGTTCTTAGGAAATTCGGACCAGGAATTTCAGTGAAATACAGGTTACCAAAAGCAGAGAGGATGTATCCTACCACGACAGACATCCTGACCACTGGGGTTAGAAACAAGCTTGCTTTTACAGTACAACGTTCCACATGAGCTGTGCCTTCCCCATTTTAGGCAATTCTTTCACCTATTCATCTAAACACAGATACAATTTCATCAGTGCTAGATCTGAGCTGTAGAAAATTTTAATCTCCTTGACATATAACCTTGCTGGTGGGCCTAAAGGGGAAGCAATGTAAGAAATTTCTGGTGGGTCCCAGTTACATTTCCAGTCTCACCACCACTGTATTAGAGAAAATAAGTTGCTGCTAGATCACAGGGGGAAGAAAGATTTAAGACCGCATACCCAAATATTCTGCCAGTTACTCAACAGGAGTTTCTCCTTCAAGCATGAGGCACAGGTTAGTGCCAGGCTCTGTTGATTCAGTATGTAAATCCAAACCTGCTCCATAAAAAGTGGCCACATGCATCCAAAGCTACAAACTCAGAGAAATGACGATATTCGGTATTACACAGTCTATCTACCCCCGTTTTCAACAAGCCTATACATTCCCACACCCAATAAAAAGAGATGGGATTACTTAACTCTTCCACTGGGCTAGCACTCAAAAAATTTTAATTTGTTCGTTAACTTTACTCGAAAAACTCCTCGTTCAAAAACATATGCACTGTTTTTGGTACACTGCTAAGATGCCAACATACTTCTACTACACTGCATAGCTGCACTGTAATAAAAAATTCATTTAATATTTGATGGGGCAAGCAAACCTGCCAACCTCTCCTTTGAGAACAGGCTATTTCCACAAAGCTTGTCAGCTGTCAGGCAAATTTCTGAAATCTTACTCTAGCTGAACAAATGAAGGTTAGCAAAACAGCTTCCGAGCTTAGCATCACCGTTATTACAACCTCTGTCAAGGAAGGTAAGTAAAACCAAATTCAGTCCTAAAAGCTCAATCCTGTATATGTATATATTTAAAATATAAAGACAGACATCCTGGTACGTGCTAGATCCCCTGAATTAATTTCCTTCAGAAACAGGTAAGAAGACAAGTGATACAAAACCCTTTCCCCTCTCCACATACTAGTGGAAGTGAAGTCAACCATCAGGCATGGGTTTTGTTATTGTTTGTATAAAACTGGGCGGCGGGGGAGGAGGGATGGAGGAATACTGAGATGCAGTTAAGAAATCACTGCCAGCAAAAAAGGCAACAGTGCTCACTGTTGCAGACGGGTGGGGATGCTCAGGATGGCAGCTTGTGTCTCACATCATCTATTCCCCAAATAATTCTTACGTGTAAAATCACTATGAGTATCACTGAGAAGTCCAAGTCCTTCCAAGATGATCTCAGCAGCAGATGAACTGTTTTACAGTTTCCCTTCAGAAAGGGGTAGGTACCTGGTTTACAATAACACGCCACTCGCTGACACCTAAGCTAGTATTTCCAATGCTTAATGCAGCACGGGAACTTGTATTGGTCAGACTGTGACTCTTCAAGAACTGACTCCTACCCAATAACCCAGGAATAAAAGGAGTCACTAGATGAAACATCTTCGCCAGCATTTCATTAGGCAGCCTGACCTCAACCACACCGCAGGAAGCGGATCCAAAATGTCATTTAAGCAAAGAGAAAAGCTCAGCTCTGTCGGTCCCCGGGCACTGAAGCGGGGTGTACCCCGGCCCACTCACACGATACCCAAAGCTCACAAGCACACAGGTAATTGAGTAATTGCTTCATATTGTTTGTTCAGAAACCTCTCTCTGTTAGAGCAAAGATTAACTTCTCTGACTTACTTTCTTCTCTTGAAAGACAAGGAAACAAAACAAAATTTGAGTGTATGCAGACATGTTAACTTTTCTGAGGATTTTTGAACACTAAAGCGACAAGCTACTTCTACATGGCAAAAAGCAGCACTGGGTAATGTTGGGATTTCAAGTATAGCAAAGGTACGTAAGTGCAGGAGCGTTGCCTAATTCCAAAGGAAGACAAGGCATTGGTATGAGAGAGACCACGCTGCTTTTCCACGGAGACTGATCCTGCCTGGGCCGCCTCTGACCCATCTGTTTCAGAGAAAACCACAGACCCCCAGGCCCAATTTCCTGGTGATACAGGGCAGGTTGAAAGTATGGCTGGTAGAGAATAAAGGAAAAATGCACCTCACCTCCAACTGTAAAATGCAACTTTGCAGTCAGGGTGCTCCTCCCCAGATAAGGCGATTGGAAATGTTTAAAGCAAGGTTCATCAATCTCAACGAACCGAGATTACTCAAGGACAGCATTCACTTTAAAAGAAAAATGCTACCATAGAGCTAATACTAAACCAGCTATAAAATGACTGACACTACACCATATATCAATACAGCTATGTCACAAATACTGTGGTGGTGCTGAGAGTGAGGTTTCTAAACCAGCCCAGCTTAACAGCAGGCTATCTGCAGAACTATTTTAGCAATTGCTTGTTTAGGAGTTCTCCTTCCTCTCTGCTCAAGTGTAATTTGGTTTGCATTTTAAAACTACAGGGTTCTTCCTCCCCGCCCCCCAACCGCACTCATCCTTCAAAGTGATGTGTTTAAAATGATTACATCCTAAGGAGGATTCAAATGAATATAAACAACAGCTGAAAAAATAAATGCTTTCCGAGGGATGAGTAGAAAGGTGGTCTTTCTACTCCTGCCATGACATCTACAAAACACAGCAAGGATGTTTTGTTTTGCTTTCTTGAAGTCTGGGGAACATTTTGAGATTTCAGCTCTGTTCAAACATTACCTCTCAAAAAAAGCTTCATAGCCTACAAGGAGGTATTTCGCTGGCAGCTTGACAACTATGAATAATACAATTGAACTAAACGGGTAAATTTAAGAAGAAAAGCAATTAATACATTTTTTCCACTGATGTATTAAAACGACCATATCTTGACAAGGTTCTTAGATGTGAAGACAAACTGCGCTCCTAATTACAAACCCACTGGTACACAAAATGTTAGGAGATCAAACTTAGAGCAAAGCTATTGCTGAACCCCGTATGAAGGTTATTCCTGCGCTAGGATTTCCAGCTCACTGATTATGTTCACCCCTGACCAGATAGAAGAGGTCATGATTTGTGAGCACAGTTAGACAAACATCTCCTTGCCCATCCCCTGCTGTTTTATTCTGTCCTGCAGGGCAAATTGTTTAACAACTTTTTTGTTAGAAGGCTTGTTAACAAGGCTATAGGGGATACAAGATGCATATCGCATGCATCCATTCACAATGAAGGCTCAACGAGTTAAGATTAGCATGGCCAGCCCATTCACCTGCTTATTTAATCCCTGGTGCACGGTAACTACATTAGAAGAGGGAGGGTGTAATACAGCAGCAATAAACCACCATAAAATAACTATTAATAACTTAAAGACTATTTCCAGTATGTGTTACAGGAATGATCAGAAAGTGCCATTCCCTAGCTACAGTACAAGTAACGTATTTCCAGACAGCTCTGTAGCTCTGTACTTGGGAAGTCTGGATCCGGAGTTGATGAGCTGAATTTGTATCAGCACCAGCACGCAGCGACTTCTTCAGCTGTTGGGTGCTTTGAGTAATGAACTATCCAGAGCAGCGGGGGAAGGAATGAAGCTTCTATACCTGTTCATTCAACAGACCTTTAGACGGACCCTAGAAGTAAGAACTTTTTACCCTTTCGTTAGCCAGCATACAAGAACCGACAGCAGAGTTAACTGCTTTCCTCCTCTAGCATCCTAGCGCAAAGATGACTTTTGCAACTGGAAGTCAGGGGATCCTTCTCAGGGTATTCTCTTTTGACGAGCCATACTGCGAAGACAGCCTACCTGCATTAACAAAAGGAGGAAGCACCGTGACGAAGCATCGTCCCACGCCAACACATCTGATTTGGATGTATTATGCTTGGCGCCGTGTAGCGCTGATGGAAATACAAGCGCACGCTGCAGTTAGGCAAGAACCAAACCTCTAGCCGGGGAAGCGGTATTCTCACGGATGCTTCCCCCTCTCTCCTTAAGAGGGTGTACAGATTTAGAAAGAAAGAAGTCTTGCCCTTTACAGTCTCCCATTGACTTTTTTTTTTTTAATTCTATTTTAAACAGCAGCCAGCCTTTACTCCAATGTAC